TTTTGTTGGTATCCTACCTTGAATATAAAGTTTTAAAATCTCATATTGAAGGGAGCCATTGGCAAGCTTAAGTTAACTATATATGGGTGATGTAGTATGGGTGAGGCCTCTAAAGCTAATGTAGCATGTAGTGCATGGAAATATAACGTTTCTTGAGAGGTGGCAATGGTATCTATACAAAGGACGAAAAATCCAAGCTAAAAATTAAAATAGATTACTTTGGAAATGACCACCAAAGAAAATCAAGGAGAGAAACAACCTAGAACTAAGAAGAAAAGACTGATAAAAAACCCAGCTAGTATTCAACAAGGCACAAAAAGGTGGGGAAACAGAAAACCAAGGTAGGAATAAACAAATTATATATTTCCTAGCCCACCCTATTTCTCACAGAGCTGTAAGTACCCCTTTACCTAAAAACAAGCTTGCTATCTTGAAAAAGAAGACTCCACATCCTCTCCAAAGTAGGTTGAGAAACGACAACACTTGCCAACTCCATATTGCCCAACAAGGTCTGATATAACTATAGTTGCCATCAGCCATATTATATTGCAGGGAACAGAAAGGAAAGTTTTGTCCCACAAAAATTGTTTTCTCTAAATGACATTCAATTTAAACTTGATAAGCTCATTCAAGCTCTAACAATGCCTGGTGCTAGTAGTTGCCATATCACATCTAATAATGGGAAATGTTCTACTAAAAACAGTCTGGAAATAAAACTTGAGTGCTTCAAAGGATCATGCTCTGCTGTTTATCCCTTTAAATAGCTTGTTGGCCAAGAATTCTGCGCATAAGAAAGCGGTAATAAATCTGCCAAGCAAGCTTCTAAACTGTCATCCCAAGCTCATAGATCTGGATATATTTCATTTCTGCCTAGTTTACTAGGGTTTAAAAGAATCTTGTTCATAAATCATGCAATGTACAGAAGATGTTTAGAATGGCAGACTATTCAACAAAAATAGTGTTTTCTCTTCCAGAATTTTAAAGATGCTCCAATCCAGCCTGATTCAGCTGCACTCTCCCCACTTGCTTGAGGCTACAGCCTTCTATTTAGAAGATAATTACTACAGAAACCAATGCTTCAGTGTAGAGATAATTTTTCTCTCCTCCAATGATTCATTGTTATGCTCAGTTAACAGATCTTCAGAATAGATTCCTGATTTTAAAACAAACATCTCCATCGACATCGCTTAGACCTACTGGACAACAACTTAGAGGAGAGTATAACTTCCAACTTTCATGTTCCAAGAAGATGAAATTATCCCTATAGGCTCACACCTACAACAAGATTCAAGAATTAAGCCAGTATAGAATTTCTCTCACCTCTGATATTGACCCAGATTTGGATTCTGATATACAAACTAATTTATTATATAATAATGAACTATCACTCCATCTATTTAGAGGAAAGCTATTATTTCACTTCTCAGTTTTAATTCTTAAAATTTACTTAAAAGACTGACAATAATGTAGACCTGTGATGGCAAATCTATGCCACGTGTGCCACAGGTGGCATGCGGAGGCATTTCTGAGGGCACACGAGGCATTGCCCTGTTAGCTCCAGTATGCATACGCACGCTGGTCAGCTAATTTTGGGCTGTTTTTCACCCTCTGGAGAGCAAAGAACTGCCCAATGCGTAAACCGGAAGTCTGTTCCTGAACTTCCAGTTTGCGCGTTGGGCCGTTTTCACTCTCCGGAGGCTTCAGGGAAGCCTCCTAAACCCTCCAGAGGAAGAAAAATGGGTTCCCCAACAAAAGGGCGAACACCAAAACCACACCCAACTAAACCACGGTGACAAAACCGCGTGTTCTAAAGCACTCAGACGAATGAGCACTGAATCGCGCCGACAACAGCACAGCGACAGAAGCGCGCTGTAAAACTAAACCTAATCCTAAACCTAACCCTAAAAACGTTACTCTAACCCTAACCCTAAACGTAACGCTAACCCTAACCCTAAACGTAACGCTAAC